ATTTTGTTTATACCAATGGAAACTATAATCAGAATAGAATCTATCCATATAAGGAAGTCCTTCTAGTTCAATTTGTACAATTTATGGTGAATTTTCAAAGTTGATCGACAGAATCTATTTTGAGCATAATTTGTTGCCCCGTTTTCTAACGTATCCTCACTTAAAAATTCATATCTTTTTGTATATACCTCAAAATCAGTTTTCATTTGTTCTACACAAAACTATACTGATATACGAATTCAACTGTGTAAAAATATTCCTCTAATCATTTTTGTAGAATTTATGGTGATTTTCTAAACTTACTGTCAATAACTAAATTTCTAAGTGGACTTCACAAATTTCCATATTTAGCTTGTCACTAATTCTATTAGCTTACCAAATGCACATATATGAATGCATCGAAAATAACATAAAATTTTAGGAGTAACTCCTTAATGTTTCAGTTCGCCAGGTTGTCTCTTATCTGCCCATGGATTCAGCAGCACTTCGAAAGGTTGACCTATTCGGGAATCTCCTGATCTACGCTTATTTTCAACTCCCCGAAGAATTTCGTTACTTACTATGTCCTTCCTCATCTCTGGGTGCCTAGGTATCCACCGTAAGCCTTTCCTCGTTTGAACCTAACCCTTAACTTTACTTTAAACTTTAAGGCTATGCCATCCTAAGGTGCTGCTAAATGAAATGGAAGGATCTTATCAACGTCCATGAATGATAAATCATAGATCGAACTGCCGAATCAGAAAAATTAGATCATATAGCTTTGTTTCGGCTAAGTTCACGAGTTGGAGATAAGCGGACTCGAACCGCTGACATCCGCCACAGGGTAAACCGGTACTAAGTACTCTCTGGTTCGGTTCTTTAGCGGGTTTATTGATAGAGATCAATCGTTTCTTCCTGGATGCGTTAACATTCCCTTTTTTTTAATTCTAGTTATTGCCACAGAACGGGGCGAAAAAGATTAGATCGAGATACAATCAAATATATGTGACTACTCTCTCGCCCCCCCCCCCTTATTTTATATTTTAATTTAGTTTTTTTTTAGAATTAGATAAAATAAATAAGGAAGGTAGAACGAAAAAGTGGATTCAACCTCACCGAAATTCGGGTTCAAGCTCCAATTAAATTACTAGTAGAGCGAAAAGAGAAATGTGGCTGGAACAATAGTATCCTACAAGATACTTAAAGAAAATATTGTGTTGTGATTTGATTCTAAATAGAGTTAGAAATCGTTGTATTACTTATTTTTATTATTTACTATTACTATAAATCTATATTGATTTACTATATTGATTGCAACGAAATCTTTCAGGATTTGGTTTTGAGTTAGCAACTTTTATTTTTTTTCATTCCTTTTTTCTTCGCTTTTTGATTGGAAAAAAGAAAAGTTGGGTAACTTAAAAACTCAAAGAAGGTTCATGGCCAACAATAAAGATGTCCGAGTAACGATTATTTTGGAATGTACCAGTTGTGTTCGAAACGGCGTTAATGTTAATAAGGGATCAACGGGCATTTCCAGGTATATTACTAAAAAAAATCAACACAATACGCCTAGTCGATTGGAGTTGAAGAAATTTTTTCCCTACTGTTACAAACATACAATTCACGAGGAGATAAAAAAATAAAGTGGCTCGTATATGTCACCCCTTCCCGAGAATATTAAAATCTGACAGAAAATTATGACATTATGTATATAATATATTAAGTATACATAGTAGCTCTGTTACTGGCTCATCGCAAGCCAATGTTTGTTCGATAACATGAGTACAAATTAAATTTTCACTTGGTGTCCTTAGCTTGGAAACCTTCCTTAGAGATTCAAATTCCATCCTTAATCTTCTCCTTAGTTTTAATAATTTTTATTATTGATTTCAAGAACACAATCTAAATAAGCATCATTGCAAAACATATACAAATTCAAACCACATGTTAGAATCTTACTAACATATGCACACATTAGAAAATAAATTCCTAAAACAATTTCGATGCTCATCCGATACTAATTCCATGTCGCAACATAAATGTTGACCTTAAAACTTCTAATTGACCATTCAAATTCCATTTTATCCAAATTTAACATAACATTTTCACTTAAGCTTCCAACTTTTCCATATTTGTGATTTGAACCTCAACTTTTTTCAACTTTCCAAATAATCCAGTTTCACCTTCTAACATCAATTTCAGCACTCAAACATTAATTTCTAGCATAGTACATCAACTATTATACATTTACACATTAACCTACAATTTTTCCATAATTGCCGAATAAGTTCCCCAACTTTCACAAAATTACAAATTGGCCCAAATCATTTTCTAAAGCATGTATAACCTTCCATATATCATTTCTAAGCCATAGGAATTTTTCCACAATTTTTCCTAATTTAAAACCCTAAGGTCTAATGCTTTAAAAATCCAAGACTAGGGTTTTCATGATTTTTATTCTATTTCAATTCAATTCGAGCATGAATTCAACCTCGATTCAACATTTTAAAACCTATACAATAAAAACCTAATCAAATTGCATCAAAATACAAACTTCCCTAAATTAGGGTTTATGCCCAAACATCATGAAAACATTTCTAGGAAGTTTGTATCATCATAAAAGCTTAGAAACGATTTTATGACCTCAAAACCTCAAAAATCATCATCAATTCTACAAACCTAATAGAACATAAACCATAGAATTTGGGATCATTGAACACAAGCAAGATTAGCATGCAATAATGGTACCAAAATGATAGCGTTTTTCGAATAGAACAATTTTCTATTTTACTTCTTAATCCAAAAACCAAAGGAAATCGCTCAAAAATGAAAAAGAAAGTTTCTATCACCTAAAGTTGGAATCCACAGCTTGGATTGGAGAATATGAGAGAATCTTACATGAAATTTTAGCTTAAGTTGATGTTAATTTATCCTTTATTTAAGCTTAAATAAATTTAAAATTCATTTAATTGAGAAATGAAAATTTTACCATTAATGAAACCTTAAATTTACATCCATACCAAGCCACATAACCCTTATCATATTTAAAACGTCAAATTTGAACAAAATATTTCACCATTTACAATTTTATCTATGCAACTTTTCTAAAATTGCAATCTTACCACTTTAATCTAACGATCCAAATTGAACATGGAAATTAATTCTCAAATCCAATGATACATATTATTTTCCATCATTTAAAAATGTGGAAATAATATTTCTAATTTTAATTTAATAACCTTCAAATTTTCGTGAAATTTTTATTCGATTTGATTTACCGAATTTTTATCGTATTTTAATACTTTCTAGTTTTTTAACACCAATTCCGGATCAAGAATCTGATTTCAATAAAACCCCACTCTCAAGATTAAACTATCCACTTATGGATATTACACTTTGTCCAATTTTATATTGTGGCCACTAAACTTTCAAAATTTACATTTTGGTCACTAACTAAAATTTTGGGGTATTACACTAGTAAGAGAGGCCTATTAGCCGAATTACGTGTCAAGCTAGAGTTGTTTATGGAATTTAAGGAACTGTCAAAGATTGATGAGAGCTTGAGACTTAGACTAGAGCGAGTTCATTGAGGCAGAACACCTAGCTTTAAGATAAGGGATGCCAATATGTTATTTTTTAAGACATTTGTGTATCGAGTGAGGAGTAGTTACAATCTAGAATTCTTTGTGAGGCGCACTGTATTCCATACTTTGTTCACCTTGAAAGTAACAAGATATGTTCAGAGATTCAATTGTTGTATTGGTGGTAGAGCATGAAGAAAGAAATGTTCGCGTTTGTTTGTAAATTTTTGGCTTGTCAACAAGTAAAAGCGAAACATCAAGTTCATTTGGGTTTAGTTATGCCTATTCAGATTCTTTTGTGGAAGTGGGATTGAGTGACCATGGATTTTGTAACTGGGTTATTGATATCGTGATAAAGATATGATCTAGTTTGGGTTTACTTCATCCAATTCAGATTCCTTACAGGAAGTGGGATTGAGTAACCATGCATTGTGCACCTTTTATGTTTAAGGCTGTGTTATCCATTTTTATTGTTTACATCATGTTTATTAGTTGTTTTAGGATTGAACATATGTGTTGCATTTCATCTATGTATATTGTTTGCATTGTTGTGCATTTTGTTTAGAGCATTTAGGAATTTTACATTTATAATGCTGCAATTTTAATGTTGTTAAATTTAAGGAATTTTTAATGGAATTTTGGTGATGCCCTATGAAGAACAATTGAATTAATAAATGCCATGGAAATGACAGTGCAGTGTGGAATAAAATATATTATTAATGCTAATGTGAATCTCTAATTTATTAAATATATCACCAATATCACATAAATTAACTGAAATTCGAAAACTTAACCCATTGCTCAATAAATAGTAAGAACAACGTCTCTCAGTTTTACATTTCCTCTCCCCAAAGATAATATCCCAAACGTACTTACAACTTGATATTTTTAGTATTTTTAAACCTAGTAAACTTTCATATCCCTAAATACCAAAAAAAAAAAACAAGTGAGACAAGAGTAGTAAATGGGATATTCATATGATTAGACATTAAAAATTAAAGAAATGGAACTGAGTGCAATTGATATAATAAAGCTTAAAATTAGAAAGCATGCTTATATCGTGCAACCAAGTATTGGATGGGGGGGAAATTTTTGTTCTTCTTGTTGTTATTGGTTTTGCCGTGGTTTCCTTTTTTTTAATATATATTGTTGATTTGCATATCGTGAGGTGATTCAGCATAGTGTGAGAAAGAGGGTGTGAAACGGACTTTACGTTAAATCTTCCCAACTGTTTTACTCTCCATCTCTTCTAATTTTGCTTCTTTACAGTTATAATTTTGTTCTTTTTTGGACTTTTTTTTTCACCCTCATCTTTTTTTCTCTAACCATACCCTAAAAGTGTGTGTATATATATATATATAATTTTACCCTTTGATTCACTATTCCATAAAATTTAAAATATCTTTTAAGCTTAGTATCTCCTTACTATTTTACTATTTCGACTTCTTGCATGGTGGTCATGGGAAGGGCTATGGAGGCTCCGACGTGTGTTACAATGGGGTTTAAAGATCATACGAATATCGTGAAAGGGAAGCGAACGAAGCGTTCGAGGTCTCAATCGCCTATCCCTTTCGCCATTGCATGTAACGATTATATTTGCGATGAAAATAGTCATGAAGGGATGAAGAATTATAGTCAATATTTGTCACCTTCCTCATCTTCATTCGAATATTTGGACAGCACCACCGAGGAAGAAGAAGACATGGCCCACTGCTTGATCTTCCTGGCGCAAGGCCAACCCAGAGAATCGCATAAAACACGAGGCGCCATGAAATTCATTAGCAGAAAGTTCATGGAAGCTACTTCTAATGGGACAGGCAAGGCCAGGCACAACGTTTTCGAGTGCAAAACATGTAACCGAACATTCCTTTCATTCCAAGTGCTTCATGGTCATAGTGCTAGCCATAAGAAGCCCAAGGCAGCCATGTACATAGGGCTATTCAAAGCAGCAAGGGAAGATGAAGGTCCTAATAATAGAGGTTTGAATGGAAATGATAGTAGAGTTATGGTTCATGAATGTTCCATTTGTGGGGCTGAGTTTGCCTCTGGACAAGCCTTGGGAGGGCATATGAGAAGGCATAGAGGGTCAGTGTGTACCGTTAATGTTAACGTTATTACAGCTGACAAAGCCTTCTCTCTGACAGTTCCATTGGCAATCGAATCTGAGAAACCTAAGAAACCACGAAATGTTTTGTCTCTAAGCTTGGATCTCAATCTTCCTGCCCCGCAAGATGATCTTCCGGATTCCTAAATGGCCTTTGCTTCCAAGCAGCAACAAGAACAATCCCCTCTTGTCTTCTCAGCCCCCACTTTGGTGGATTGCCATTACTAAGCAAGGTTAAAGTTCTTTTTATTTAAAATCGATATATGATATATTCATCGACTATACCCATGTTTATTCATACAATTGACCCAAACCTGAATTATTATTTCGAATATTTATTCAATATTGATTGGATTCTTTTCGTTGTTTACCCAGTCAAATGTTAATCATATGAAACTTCGAATATATGGAGTTTTTCCCGATATATCACCTTTTCTATTCAATTTTCCCTATCAGACATCCTTCAGACTATTTTTCCCGATCTAACACCCTTTGCAGTAAGGCGCTCCCCCTGCAGCGCGCTTTACGCTGACTTGGCACCACGCGGGGTAAGGCGCGCCCCCTGAAGCGCGCCTTATGCTGACTGGGATACACGTGTGTAAAGCGCAGTGTATGGGCCGCGTCTTACCTGCAAATCTGACACGTGTCAGAAAGGCGCGCCTTAGGTTTAATTACGTATCTGCCCCGACCGTTTACACCCCCATCCCTCCCTATAAATACCCCCATCCTCAATCACTTTTATCACACCAAATCCTCTCAACTTCTCTCAAATTCTCTCAACCTCTCTCAAATACTTTTATATTCTCTGTTTAAGGTATATTTTATTATATTTTATATTTAATTTATTTAAGTATTTAAATTATTTAATATTGTATTTAATTAAATTTTTTGCAGATATAAAATGGAAGGCGGTCTGCTTCGCTTGGATGGAAATCATATATCTCGACATTTTGCTGATACGATAACATTTTAACGTTTTAATTTAATTTAAATTATTAGTAATAATTTATTTATTTATTTAATGCATGATTATTAGTTTAAAAATTAATTTTTGTAATTATTTATATTTTAGGAGAGAGACTGTATATTAGATCATTTTATTAGGAACCTTAAGTTAGTGATACATGGTCGTGTCATGCCGTATTTAGTAGAGGTTGGATTCGATCACATAGGTAGATAAGAAGGTCACTGTAAGATAGAACCAGACCTTATTGCTGCCTTAGTGGAGCGGTGGAGGCCAGAGACCCACACATTCCATTTTCCGTAGGGTTGCTAATGCCAGACAAATCGCGCAACCAAGTTCATTGTATGTGGTTGCAACATCTTGGCGACTTTTCTCTGGCCAGATCACTCAGTTGGGGCTCGGTAGTTTTGGCGATCCTGTATAGGGAGATGTGTCGAGCGACTGACTATAGAAAAACTACTATCGGCTGATGTCTCCTACTATTGTAGTCTTGGCCATGGTATCGATTACCCTTTTTATGTCTCGTTGTCAAGAACCCATTCGTATTTCCACTACTATTTAGGTAATTATAAAATTGATTTCGTATATTAATCATTTTATACAGTGTATAATAATTTTTTCCTTGAATAGGTGGTCTACTGATAGGAAAAATCATCAAGAGCTACTGATGATTTAGAAAAAAAATTAGGGTTTTAATCGATCAGAAGGCTGGCACACAGGTATGCATTTTAATGTTTAAAAATCGATTTTAGATTATAGTTATATAATTAAATTATTATTTTTTTATAAAAATTATATATATTTGTTTTAGTTTGAATGGGTGCCATATTCTAATGATGATGTGAGGATGGTGATCCCACCTGAGTTGAGGGGCCTATCAGATGTTTGGATGGCGATGGTCCCTTTGATCTGTTATGCGATCGTCGAGTGGCACTCCACTGATCGCGTGCTCCGGCAATTTGGTTGTTTTCAACCAATTCTGGAAGCACCTCACAATATGGACGAGTTGCATAGCACAGATCGACGCGGCAAGACAGATACAGATTGGTTGGTGAGGCATCATGAGTGGGTCGTGTTATGGGAGGATCGACATCGGCGCCTTCCCCGTAGAGAGTCCATTTTTTATGACCTCTTGATGGTTGTTGACGGTTATTATGACTGGTTCAACAGTAATGGGAAACTGTTTCTGCTTCCCGAGGATGCACAAGGGCGGACCTTTCAGCGACGTCGACAGAGACGTTCACTGACATAGCACCATCTCCCCTGACTCGTGGACGGAGATCAGGTGCTTCCGATTCGTCCTCAACTGCACCAGCAGGACCTTCACAACAGCCACCGTCTCCAGCGACTTACATACTACAGTCATATATGATGCGGCCATCGCCATTCCCTTACCCGATGTCGCCACCACCACCGTCACCTGGTTTTATGACCCCGCCACCGCCACCGTCACAGAGTTATATGACCCCTCTTGGAGGATATTATGGGTGTATGTTTGTAGATCCTACTTGGGGTTCATATGCTGGATATTTGGTGGGTGTAGCCTAATCACCTATGGCCGCAGCTCAGACACCTCCTGTACAGTTTTCACACTCAGGGATGTCTGGGTTTTATGAATTTTCCCAGTTTTAGCAGGCCGGTGGGATAGTCAGTCATACACCTCCAGGGTCCTTATTCTATGGAGGTGCTTCATTGTCATCAGCTCCTCCTCAACAAAATGTAGCTGCTCAAGACGATGACGACGACGATGATAATGATGGTGATGATAGCGAGGAGTCACAACTAGTGAGACGAAGAAATCCTCCTTGAGACCGATAACCACTTTCTTGCGGAACACATTCGCATCGCATGTATCGATCGATTTTGTTTTTTTATTATATTTGTATTTAGTTGTTTATTAGACTTTTTATTGTAATTTTTTAATTATTTATCATTTAATACTTACTTTTTTTCGTTAATGTGGTTAGATTTATTTTAATTTATTTTGTTAAATTTTTTATACAGTTTTGTTAATGTATTTTGGTTAATTTTGTTTATTACCATTTAAAATCAGTTATTGTTATTTGGTTATCATTTACCATTTAATACTTTTTGTAAGTTTGTTGTATTTAAAATTATGTTCAAATACCAAATTGTTATTAGTTTGATAAAATTTAATAATTGTGTTCTCAAACTTTCTTCAGTTTGTCACTTATTATATCTTTTATTATAATCACATATAATGCCAACGTTCAATCTCGTTTTCTTGTATCGTTTTTTTACTGTTCATCAGCGGTTATCGAATGACATTAACTTTAAGTAAATGCAAATTAAAGTATAAGAATTATTATTTGATAAACAACTACATCATGTCCTCATCAATTGTTACTTGATGACAACATAAGTGAACATGTTTTTCTAGTGTGTCATGGGTTTCTACAATGCCCACATCTTCTGTCTTGTCTAGATCTTTCTCGAATATCCATATCGCAATGAATTTGATTGGATTTTAGACGACCAAACTCCCTCAATAAACTCAGATTTGGTATAATCGGAAGCTAATCCTGAACCTCATCAGGGTCTTTGTCATTACCTATGGGGGTGAACATGTTTTTTAGTGTGTCATGGGTTTCTACAATGCCCACATCTTCTGTCTTGTCTAGATCTTTCTCGAATATCCATATCGCAATGAATTTGATTGGATTTTAGACGACCAAACTCCCTCAATAAACTCAGATTTGGTATAATCGGAAGCTAATCCTGAACCTCATCAGGGTCTTTGTCATTACCTATGGGGGAACTCAAATTCGTATACCTTATAAACTTTAGATAGTAGGTATACGGGATCCAAAAAATGGTTATAGTCTTGACGCGTATGCGAGCAAGCTGATATCACATGAGAGCATGGATACTTCAGAGCTTGAAAAAACTTGCAGTCGAACGTTCTGTGTTGCGTATTATGAGTACTATAAAATTATACGCAAATAATGTGCAAGTATACACAATCGCAAAAGTAATACAGTGATGAGTGAGTATCGTCTCCACATGGATTGGAAGGATATTGAGTAAAATTTATGCACTATTCTAAATTAATTAGTATAGCTAATGGTATTCACAAATGATATGCCGAGGCAAATGAAATGTGTATGAGTAACAAAAGAAATGTCATGGCAAAGAAAATGGGTAAAAAAAATAGTAAATAAATAAAAAGAAGATAATCCTCACGTGACAAGCTTTCAATGGAATGAATGGTAGGGATTGATCTAAGGATGTTAAACTTATCTCTCAGGAAGATTTAAGCTACCTGGTCGTTACTTACTCGACAGGGCTTTCCTAAAATGTTCTCACAGGAACCTAACAGAAATAGGATGCCAAGGCATCTGCTCTCACTCAACGATGTTGGACAGCCTACCCTATTGATAAACACCCTTTTTAGTCGTTGAAATCCTATCCTAGTCTCTTCCGAGATCTAAGGGATTAGGTTAAATACTCCTAGGCCGGTTCAAAGCCCCTTGAAAATACATAGCTTATGAGGATCTTGTCTTGCGTTTCTCCGAATACTTACAAGTATTTTTAGCTTGGATTTCTTCCAAACCCTAACCTTCATCTAAGAAATGGACATTTCCATGCCTATTACAAGCCTAGATGGTGAAGCATTCATACGCAAAGCAAATAAAGAACCAAATAAACTTAAACACCATTAAAATAAAGTTTAAACATCCATTAAACCAACCACCACCAAATAAGTTAGTTCATGGTGGGTTCGAAATATTCATAGAAAATCCATAAAATATTCGTTCCAACAGCCCACAAATAAAATAAATAAAATAGGAGCAAAGGGAAGTGAGAAAGAACCTTCAACGCGCGCCACCAGAGGTCTCCTCGGCCACCACGAACCACCTTAGCTCGCTAGCTCCTCTCGGCGCCTAGCTCAGCACTCCTTGAAGCTTTATCAATGGAGGAAAACCCAAGAAAGAAGAAAGGAAAAGGGAAAATAAAAATCTGATTTTTCTGCAACAGTATGTGTCTCCTTTCTTCCACACACTCTCTCTCTTGTGAGGTGTAATAATAATAAAAATATCTAGGGGTAATGATGATGTTGTTGGGATATTGTTGGGTGCAAAATACCCCTCATACCCCTAGAATCACATGTTGTGCATGAACCTTATCCTCCAGGTGTCAGTGGTCCCCTAGCAGGTTATTA